AAACGAGCGCCGAGGTGAGCTCCTCCCCTAGCTCGTACCACCGGGCACAGTGCTCCCGGGTTAGTCCTTCGATTGTGCATTGCCGCACTCGGCTCAATTTGGTGAGGACCTCGGGTATAGAGTGAGCGCCCGCAAGGGCTGTCCGTGAATGTGGGAGCTCTATTTTGAGGTTCGTGATATACTGCGCAATGTGCGGGGATTCCACGAAGAGAGTCGATGTAGCAACATAGTTGGACGGATCGAAGCGGCCCTTGAGGGTCAGAGATCGAAGGAGAATGCGCTGGCTGGCACTGCACAGCGACGGAGACGCCAGGGAACAGGCCTTGAGGGATTCTGTATCACCCACCAGGTCAACAATGGCGTTGACCAGTTCTTGCGGGATCATGGTAAAGAAGAAGCTGACAGCATGGCTAATTCAAACTCCGATGTGTGGCATGGCTTGGCTCCGAGTCGGGGTTCGCCGCTTTGGGTTTACCGCCGGCTGTGCTGGGTTGTTATCTGCCACGTTATCTGCCACCGGGCCAATTGTGGTAGATTTACCTCTCATAAAATCTCCAAAATATTCGGGGGACAGTCTGAAGTACATATGATGTATCCTGTGTGCACAGATGATATTTCCGATGCTCAAAACTGTCGAAATTGCGAGTCGGCAGATAACATTGTGACATGTTATCTACCATGTCACATCAGTCACGACCGGGAACATCCCGAACCCTCCTCCGCTCTGCCTCGTTTTGCCCCGCCCTAGAGTATTGACCGCTCCCAGAGTTAGAGATGGGTAATTTGGCATCCCCAAGGAACTCCCTATTTTTTTTGCCGCTCTGCAGGCCCTCGTAGGCTTCAATCCCGTTGGCACAATAATTGCCCCAGATCTCAACTGAATCTGGGACACTGGTTCCTGTTACTTCCGAGCGGTTACATGCAATGTCAGACCTTATTTCTCTTACCATGCTCGGATTATTTCTGCCATAGAATAATCAGATATAAGTGTTCTTTGAGCTATAAATACCTTACATCCGCCTCTGAGTTACCGTGGGCGCGCGAAGCGCGCAGAGAAAAAATGATTCTAGCACATTTAGACCCCTACAGAATAGGCAAGACTGAATGCCATTGAAATCCCTCTGAATCCTCTTTGTTGGGGCGATTTTTGCGATTTTTCCTTTCTGGGATACCCAGTAAAGTGGGGGGAAAACCCCGCTTTGAGACTCCGGCCAACTTCGATCCTCCCTTGCCTCTTCCAGACACATTCATTATCGGATCATTCCTCCTTCCAATGGGGTATTCTCCGCCGCTCACCCGCCGCTCTCAGATATCTGACGTACATCGAAATCATCGTTCATTCATTTTTGCAGACTACCATCGCTCGTTCGACCCTGGGCCTCTCGGCAACTCTCAGCGTCTTGATCAACATGTCCAGCTCGCCCCCGACGAGAGTCTTCCCGGACTCTATGACTTGCGGGTGGATATATCAGCGGCACTGATCTCACCGGTACACGTCGAAAACTAGGACGTATTCGTGGTATATATGCGGGGACTTGGAAATGCACTCTTTCCTCTTACGGCGCATTCCTACTGACATCCTGCTTATTGGGTTCAAGTTGGCTGCCGTTCAAAAACGGAATATAATGCATTTATTTAGCTAGCTTGCAAGTCAACAACGGACTCGATAGCGGATGGTCCGCATCTGCACTTCATCGATCGGAAAGAGCATTGTCCAGCAGAAGGCGCCTGTTCGAATAAAGCTCCGGCCATGTGGAAGTGCTTTTTGTATCGTGATCTGCATGCTGATCGGCACACACTTCAGGCATATTTGCATTCATCAAGGGGACCTTCCAGAGAGCTGTCTCGATGGCGTACATCTCTTTCTACTTTTGGCCTGCGGACATTCCGTGGCAATCACTTGTTCCACTCAGGCTAGAGCCATATCCGGACTGCAACCCATTTTCATGACTTCCGCCTCTTCATAAATTCATTCAGGAATTCCCTAAGCCCAACCGCTCAAGATGTTTTTCGCTGTTTCAATCATGGGCGGATTTGGCGTTAAAATTCGACTCGATGGCGGATGGCCTGCGCCTGCGCTTCTCACACCGAATTTCAAAGATATCCGCAGTAGTCGCCTGTTCGAATCAGGCTCGAGTTGTATGGAACTCCATGGCACTGGTTGAAGATTTCAAGTTTTTGAGTGAAAAAACTGGTGAAAAATGTTTTGAATTTTACAGAAGTATTCTGCCAAAAATGTAGGTGAAAAACTCAAGAGTTTTTCAGTAGTTTTCCATTCTATTTTGAATTTCTCACCTGAAGTTCAAAAACTTTTGAAAATGATTCAAGTTTTCCACCTACATTTTTGGTGAAAAACTTCTGTAAAATTCAAAACATTTTTCACCAGTTTTTTCACTCAAAAACTTGAAATCTTCAACTAGTGTGGGCTAGTGCGACTTGATGCGCAGGTAATGAACGATGAGGGATCTGGCCCTGGGTCTTTCAACATGAATTGAATGCAAGTAAGAAGTTCCAAATATCGCGCAAATTCGGACCGATCCACACAGGGATTTTCAAATTTTAACACGGATGCTCACTAGGCTGGAGGTCAGAAAAGAAAATTGTGAAACCTGGGCCGCACTGCCGCGATCCTTGGATGCGAATCGTATCTCCTCGATATGCACACAGCGAGGATGCGATATACCTATCCGGTATCAGAGGTATCGCAGGCAGGGTTTCCTCTCTCCTTCAACCGAGAGACTGCAGTTCAGCTATTAGAGAAACCTGGACCACTGAAGCGCCCCAGGCAAGAGGGGGAGTCATAGACCAGGGGAGTGATAATGGCCGGGCTGGGAGAGCAGCTGAGTAGCTGGATTCCACTATTCAACACAATCCCGCGCAAGAGACGCGTGCACATCCAGATTCCAGGGTTGAACTTCTGCTTTGGCCTTTGGGATGACGTTCGGATCAAATCCCGGCAATCCGATCAACACAGCCGCTTAAAATTGCTTTGCCATCACCATCAACACCTCTCTGTTGCCGACTCTCTGGTGCTAGACCCATGCTTGCTGGATTCAGCTGGCTCGCATAGACCATATGCATGAATCGCTTCGGACAAGAAACATTTCCCAGCTTCCCAAGTCACTGAAGGCAAATGATGCTTTGGCGTTCGGTGATATATCCACTAATCGAGCGTGCAGAAATTGGCGTACGCGGCTGAGAAGGGTTCCTCCATTGACCTCCTACATTTGATCCAAGCCGCTAAAGAGGAACCCGCCAGCGAATCGCGATGCCTACTCCCCGTCTTCTACGCCAATCTTCATGCAGTCGCGATGCCGACCGTGGAGATGCTGGAGAACGGACCTGACGAGGAACTGGCCGTGGATCCAGTCCGACGGGTCCTCATGTCCCTCAAAGGTCTTTCGGAGCTTTACGACAATCTGCTGCTGCCTCCGGACACTTATGAATTTCTGTGGCCGCGCGTGTTCCCATGGCTAGATTTCTTCACGACGTACTCCGACTATTACCCCCAACTTCTAAAGGACAACATCAAGTATCCTCTCCATTTTGAGCTGATTTGGATCTTGCTTCGCGATCCAATGACTGCCGCTATGATCAAGTCCACCCGGGGAGTGCGGTCCATGGTCGCACGCGCCTGGGCCGATTTTCTGGACTCAAATGTGTATTCCTCCTCGAGCCGTATATTCGGCATACTATGCGAGGTCATTCGGACTCTGTTCGACGCATCCGACCCCGATATCGTGCAGGAAATCAACACAGGGTGCGGTCCCAACGGTCTCGCTTTCGTGATCGTGAAACATATGTTATATGTTCTCCCGAGCGCGCCAGAGATCATGGAGCCAGACACCACCATGTGTTTCGGTATCGCTCTCCGTATGGTCATCGACTTGGCTGATTCCACCCCCGCCATGATTCCTGCTCTGCTCTCACACGGCATCGTCCCCGCGCTCGTGCGCACCATCTGCGCATTCGAGTGGGAGCACATTGCTGAGCTATTCGTCTCCATGTCCATGCGCACTCTGCTGCGCCTTCTGAAGGAAAGTTCCGACCATCGCCCTGTCGTGGACGCTCTGCGCGCGGGCCTGCTCAAGGCCATCGTGTCCTCAATCCCAATGGAAATTGAGCATGTCCTGGAACTTCTAACGTGCTTCCTCCCTGCGCATGCGGTCCATCACACTGTCCTCGCACACCTACGGCGACTGCCGCCTGCCCTCGATAAAATCGTCAAGACCTTCGATCCAGCAGTGCGTCAGACCCCGCACTTCGCTGCGTGGATGATGTTCTGTAAGCTGGTCATCGAGCGAGAGGACCTACAGATGTCCTTAGATTTAGTTCACCCATCGCACCAGCTCGCATGCGATAATATGGCGGTGCGTCCAATAATCGTGCCCGAGCCTCCAACACTGATGTAGAGTATACCCAGTGCGGCAAAATATCCGCCAGAACAAGCTTAATGCGCTGTTCCGGATGTCGATCTACATCGTATTGCTCGGCAGAGTGCCAGCGACGGGATTGGAAAGAGGGTGGCCATCGAGCGGAGTGCATGCGCAGGAATGCGCGTAGACTCGGTGCGCTTCGCGTTCTGAGTATTTCTAGTCACCGGGTTGACACGCATAGACACAGATGAAAGTGACGGCGCGCTCACCTCGCGCGATCGCCAATTTCTCCGCGAGCTCCTCCATCACGATTACGAAACCCAGCGCCCCGAAATCATTCGTCGCCAACTCGACTTCGTTGAGGCCCGTGGAGCTCATCTGACGGACGACGGGTGGGTTTCATTCTACACGTCATTCAACTACACCATAGGCCGCGCGGAAATAACTGTTCTGCCGCTCAACAAGCTAAGCCAGGAGTTTCGTGACGACTACCTCCCGCGCCTCTCGAGAAGTGGGGGGAGGATGGAGCTGCACGAAGCGGTGTTTTTACAGGGAGGCAAGACGAGCTCGGTACTCTTTCTCATGCGCTCGTCTCAGGCATACCTCCAACGTGCGCTGCGGGTGCTTCATGACCCAGCAGCGCCAGAAGTGGATCGGCGGAGGCGCGAGCTGTTGGGGCGGATCGAAGATTCAACGGAACTCGCTAGCGAGCGGACAAACGAGGTCGACATTCACCTGTCGACCTGCTGATCATAGTCTCTCCCAAACTACAACTCATTTTTTACATACTCAGGCGGAATAGAAGAGCGTAACCTAAATCATTCTGACGCCTGTCATCACTACAATTCTTTCAGCGTGTTTTTTTGAGTGCTGATGCTTCATAGGCACTCTCCTAGTTTCTCCACAAGCTCCCCTTCGAAAGGCCTGGTACGCGAAATTGCTTAGGTTCCAAGGTGGTGTGTTCGCACTCCGTGTCACCTGGATGTGTCTGCGCCGACCTGCGTTTCTAGTCTTCGACCGTCACGGCGCTGCAGGAGGCTACCGGGGCGTACCTTGGATCGCTCTTCGAGGTGCCTGTGGACGTTCCACACCGCGTTGGGTCACATTAATATTACGGTAGAGGTCCATTTCCCCTCCCCTTTCTTCATTGCCCTGTCCAAATGCTCACAGTTTATTACTTCCGGGACCTAACAAAAAGCAGCAAAGATGATCGCGTGGGTCAATTTTCTCTTGCAATATTCAGTGAGCCACATCGAGCGCTTCTTACCAACTGGCAAAAGAAAGACGACGAGGGCTTTCGTGGCTTGTTTCCGAGATCATGTTGAAGCCGCTGCGTAGCATGGTCGTCTCGTTCCTTACTTTCGTTTACGGGAACATTTCAGTCAACAGTCGGTAAGGGTTGGATGAACGCATGATGAAGTTACAAACTCAGGCAGCATATATCACCCTCTGCCGAAGTGTTAGCACTGACGGAGCAAAAGAACGATAGGAAACGGGGAAACCATTATGATCAAGGCTGCGTGCAATTTTTTGAACGGAAACGTCTGATTCATTCAGAGGCAGAGTATGGGTCGTCAGGGCTCAATAAGCATCCTTGCGCTAGAGATGGTTTGAGAACATACTCCTCGAAGGTTCGATGTCAAGGAGGGCGCACGATGAATGACTCCACTTCGCCTGCACGCCACAAATTCCTCCGCTAAAGACCAGGAGTTCGGCTGACACTGGCAAAGTGTCCAGTTTGCCACGAGGGCCCTGTACACGGTTATCACGAAGCGCGGATCCTGAATTGGAGATGTCCGGGCCCGCTGGGCGGCCCACGGAGCCTTCAATCGGGGGAATACGTTGATGAGGACCTCGAGGCGTGGGCAATCCACAAGCAGCCTTTGTACATGTTTCCAGGGCACGTTCTCGTTCAGGCGCAGATGGGTGAGGGCGGGCAGCATAGGGAGGCGGGCGATTATTCGGGTGTCGTTCTCATAGATGGCATCGACGATATCCAGGTGGGTGAGAGACACGAATAGCGTGTGCGTGAGATCAATGAACTCGTATCCACCGAACAAGCGATCTAGGTCGATGGAGAGGCGGCGCAGCGGCAGTTCTTCGAGGATGCGAAGGAGCGTGGGATCTGAAAAATCTCCCCAGGCGTTGAAGGCATCGAGCCGAGTACAGAGCTTGAGGACCCCCCGTGCGTCGTCCAACGTCCAGGTGGCGGATGTGTCCAGAACCAAGTGCCGGACAGCGCTGTGGAAGAAACTAGCCGGTTTGGACTTGGTTGCGCGCAGAATGGCAGAGCCCATGGCTGAATATGGGGGATCTTTGCCCACATGAACCAGTCTGTACAGAAAAGGTTCGATCCTGAGGCACAATCAAGTTATATTTGACATGATCAGAGAGGAATGGAGCGCACCAGATGTGAATGCGGCGGGCCACTCGCAAGAGACCTGGGATTGTGCTAGGGTGAACCAGGGCTGTCGTCTCGAAGATCTCTCGCTCCAGTTCCAGAGGGAATATCGGTGGGGAATCCATCGAGCGAGGGTGTGGTGGCAGAGAGAGGGAGGAGAGTGCCAGCCCGCACTGCCTTGGCGCATCTTCTCACAAGTGTCAACGGCCCATTCAAGCTGTCGTCGAAGCTAGTGATGTCATGTTCAATTGCACCCTCACGCAGGAGGGGATGTGTTAACAGCAACACTGTCAAACTCAGACTCATCGGTTAATTTATGCTGAGTTGCAACACTGTCACCAAAAATCCTCCAGATTGGAAGGT